TAGCACTATGTTCTTTGGAGAATAGAATTCATTTGCATTTAAAGTAATTATTGATAGGTAAGAACTTATAATGCTATTTTATTGTTTTCTCATTGTTTTAAAGTTCCCTTGTTGCTTTCTTCCTTTCTTGCTGTCTTCCTTTGTGAAATGAAATTTTCCAAAGTGGTATACCTTGATTCCCTTTTTATCTTTCATGTTATCTATTGTAGGTTTTACTTTGTGGTTACCATGAGGCTTACATAAAATATCTTACTGATATAACAGTACATTTTACATTTGTAACAACTTTAATCATATACAAATACTCCACCCTCCACCCCAACATTTTAGGGTTTTGATATAAAAATTTAACTTTTTATATTGCATATTCATTATCGCTAGTTATTTTTAATACCTTTATCTTTTAACCTTTATACTAGAATTAATTAACACACCATCATATTACAGTATTAGAGTATTATGATTTTGACTACATACTTACCTTCTTCAGTGTTTTATATCTTCATGTTTTTCATTTTACTAGCTAGTATTCTTTCATCTCAGATTGAAGAACACCCTTCAGCATTTTTAGTAAGGTTTGATGATGATTAATTCCCTTATTTGGGAATATCTTTCTCTCTCCTTCATTTCTGAAGGACAACTTTACTGAATAAAGTATTCTTGGTTGGTTTTTTCTTCAGCACTTTGAGTATATCATCCCACTCTCTTCCGGCCTGCAAGATTTCCGCTGAGAAATCTGCTAACAGACTTACAAGGATTCCCTTGTCATGTGATTTTTTTTTCTCTTGCTGCTTTCAAAACGGTCTTTTATTTTAGACAGTTTTATTATAATGTGTCTTGGAAAGAATCGCTTTGGGTTGAAATCTTGGGGAAAATTATAAATTTTATGAACTTAGATGTCCAAATCTCTCTCCAAATTTGGGAAATTCTCATTCATTAGGTCTCTAACCTTTCAACCCATTTCGCCCTCTCTTCTCCTTCTGGTATACCAATAAATGCATAGATTATTTTTATGGTATACCATGGTTCATGTAGGCTTTCTTCACGCTTTTTAATTTTTTTGTTTTCAGACTAGATAACGTTAAATAATCTGTCTTCTACTTCATAATAATTTTTTCTGCTTGATCCAGTCTGCTGTTGATGATTTCCATTGCATTTGCTTTCCTAAGGTGGTGATGACTGCTCAAGCATGTGGTTTCTCCCAATCCCACGGAATCCAGTTTCTACGCATGCTCACTGGCCATCTGCAAAGGCTCATTCTTGCCCTCAGGGGCATGCATAAGAAGGCAGTCACTGGGTATGGGTGTGTCTGAGTGAGCTGCACAGAGCTTGGTGGCAGCCATAGGCCAGCTGAAGTGATCAGTACGGGAGACAACCTCAGTGGCTCATGAGTAATTTCCTGATACAGTTCCCAAAGCAGTTAATAAAATGTGTGTTCCTTTGATATGTTCTATTCCCAGCCTTAGCTGTTGTTCTCCCAGCATGACTGTCTACCCCCAAGTCGTATAGCTCACAACGCAATATTCTGGATGGAGTGAGAAAGAAATGGGTTTTGGGAGTATCTCACACAGCTGGGGATATCCAGCACCTGCTCTCAATTTCCCACATGGAGAAAATCATGGGCAGAGAAGTCTCTATTGGCATTGAGCTGTGCTGTCTTGGGGAAAAGGTGACACAGGTAAAGTAAAACAGCTCCATTTATTGTCTTCAATAGATCCAATCTTGGATGGTTTTTCCTCCAAGTATGCTGAAACCTCTCTGATGGACCGCTGGACTCCCACAAAGGCACTCTCGTCCATGAATGATTGTCTAAATCACTGTTCTTTGAGGGTAGGATAGTAAACTTCATCCTGGAACTTCTGAAAACAACTCTCATTAATTCTTTCTTTTGCCAGTTGAAATTTACTGCTGAGCCCCTCTAGTGAATTTTCCGTTTCAGCTACTGTGCTTTTCCACTTTGGAATTTCCATTTGGTTCCTTTTTTTGTAATTTCTATCTTCTTAATGATATTCTCTATTTGATATGACTTTGTCATCACACTTTATTTTTTTAAGCATTTCTTTTAGTTCATTGAACTTAATGGCTACTTTGAAGAATCTATGTATTAAATCCAACATGCCACTCTCATAACCAGTATCTGCTGCCTGCCTTTTTTTTTTTTTAAATGACATATGGGTAATTTTTTCATGTTTCTTTGCATGTTTCACAATTTTGTGTTGGAAACTTGATATTTTAGATAGTATGTTGTCCTAATTCACAGTACTGGTCTCCCCACTCTGGGACTTGTTATTTTTTATGCTTGCTTGTTCATTTGGTAGCTAGATAGCTTATTTTCGTAAATTCTATGCCCCTAATTCCCATAGGGTTAAGCCTCCAACTTGCTCCCCTGGGGAGATTTGGCTTTGCCTACAGTCATCCTGAGAGGAGAGCAATTTTGGAAGAGTGCTTGGTCTCTTTCTCTGACCACACCTAGATGTTAAACTCCACTAAATATGGCCAACTGCTTTACAGTTTTCACCAATGAACTTCAGTATAAACTACTCCACAGAATAAACTAACCAAATAGCCATTACTTTGAAGGGAGAGTTTCAGAGGTCCATGTTTGAGATTTGTTCTGACATTAAGAGTCAGTCTCCTAGTAAGCCTATACTTAAATCTGTATGTTCAATCAATCTACCAATCTCCTCTCAAATTACCTTTCACCACAAGCTCTACTGTTTTTGAGAGTACCCTTAGGCTTGAACTTCTCTACACTCTGCTGTAGTCAGTTTCTCTGGGAAGGGATTAGGAGCTGTTTTTTTTTTAAAGATTTTATTTATTTATTTGAGACAGAGAGTATGAGAGACAGAGAGCATGAGAGGGAGGAGGGTCAGAGGGAGAAGCAGACTCCCTGCCGAGCAGGGAGCCCGATGCGGGACTCGATCCCGGGACTCCAGGATCATGACCTGAGCTGAAGGCAGTCGCTTAACCAACTGAGCCACCCAGGTGCCCCTAGGAGCTGTTTTATGACCCCCTTCTCACTACAGGGAAAATCTGTGAGCCATAGCTGTGAAGTTGGGAGATGGACAATAGCATGCTTTACTTTGAGTGACATCCCATCTTTAGAAGCTGAGTACTTAGTGGTTGTAGGTGATGTAGAAGTCTCAGGTCTTCCTGGTTTGTCTGTAGTGGTGTGGAACCACTACTTTAGAGGCTAGGGCAATTGGACTCTCTGTATTCTAAGCAGCACTGTGCCCAAAGTAGAGCCTCCATCCCAAGAATGAGGACTGGACAAAAAAAGGGAGCCCCCATCTCTGAGTCACACTTGGCTAGCAAAACGTAGCTGGAGGCAGGATGACAAATGCAATTGCCCTGCTATTTCCTAGAAGATAGCCCTCCAAGTGGGGGCGGGGGGCGGCAGTAGAAATCCTGTCTTCTTGATTGCACTGATATGGAGTTACCATCTTGCCCAGCTGGGATAGGTCCGGGAAGCAATGGGTCTTGGTGCAAATACCACAGATTCTTTACCAAATTTTAGTAAATTTCCTTGAATAAATGTTTCTTTACTTGCTATATATCCTTTAGAACATTTCCAAAGACTGTAAATGGTTGTTTTTGTTTTTTAATAATTGTCACCAATTTTGCTAAGGAGTAGGTCCACAGAGCTCCTTATGCTGCCATGCTGGAAGTCTCTTTCAGCCATTGAGCTTTTTAAAATGTAAATCAGGGCGCCTGGGTGGCTCAGTTGGTTGAGCGACTGCCTTCGGCTCAGGTCATGATCCTGGAGTCCTGGGATCAAGTCCCGCATCGGGCTCCCTGCTCAGCAGGGGGTCTGCTTCTCCCTCTGCCCTCTTCCTTCTCGTGCTGTCTCTCATTCTCTCTCTCTCAAATAAATAAATAAAAATCTTTAAAAAAAAATAAAATGTAAATCAGATCATTTCCCCCTTGAAAACTCTCCAAAAATTCCCTTCACATTTATAACACAGTCCAATTTTCTCCTAAGCTCTACAAAGATCTACACGATGCAGCCTCTGCCAACCACTGGCTATCATTCTTTACCACGTTTTATGTACTTTATTTACTCTGCTCTAATCTCTGTCATAACAAGGGTGGTCCTCTTCAGGGTCTATCTTCTATTCCCTTTAAAAAGCTCTCTTCCTAGATTTCTCCATGGCCTCCTTCCCCATTTCATTCAGGTCTCTGCACAAATGTCATTTCAAGATATTTTCTAAAATAGTACCTGCCCTCCATTCTTTATCCATGTATCCCACTCTGATTTTTTTTACAGCACCTAAATTTACTTAACCTATTCATTTTGTTACATGCTTAAAGTCTGTTTCCCCCATTGGAATAACAACTCTAAGAGGGTAGGGGATTTTGCAATCTTCTTCACCACTGTATCCCCAGTATTTAGTACTTGGCACACAGTCAATACTCAATAAATACTTGTTGAATGAATAAACATAAACAAGAACTGAAATATTTTTAAAGCTATTTACATCTTAAATGACATTAACAGAGAATATTTTTATTTATATCCATAAAGAGAATGATTAACAGAGTATGGGGAAAATAGTTGTTCATTTGGCTTAGGAAATATAAACAAAGTGGCCAATATCCAAGTATTTAATATTCAGTTTCAGTAATCCTAAAACTTATTTTTATAAATAGCACTGCTGACCTGCCCTTGCCTTTACACTACATATACCAGACACAAAAGAAATAATCATCTCTAATTTAATGGGAAAATAAAAACAATACTAAAATGATAAATACACTACGACCACTAGTTTTGACAATTGGGGTATTAAAAGATTTAGAAGCTAATCAATTTGAAAATCCTTAATCAAATACAAATTTGTCACTGTCACTAATTATAAATAAAAGTCTTTAGCATTAAAAAAGTTAGGATATTACTTCCATTTTTTCATTTTCACTCCATATACCTTCCTATCATAGGCCAAGTTTTGCAATGAGCTTAGCAAGGCTAAGCAAAAGAATCTTAGGTTATGGAGTTTTACCTTGAGTCCTGTCTTCTCGTCATCACTTCCATTATTTGTAGATGGTGTCTCATCTCCTTGCCTGGAAACCAAGACAAAATCTTCACTATTAAGAGTAGATACTGAGTCTGAGGAGACACTGATTTTTCCAACAGAAGCCTTGTCATCCATGACTCAAGAATGAAGCTCAACTCATGAATGATTAAATATTTTAAAAATGCCTGAAAAACAAAAACCATAAAGATACTCATATAGAATGTCTGCCAGATATTCAGTTATGCTCTAATTCTTACAAAATACATATGGAAAAACTTAAAAAAATACTTTCAAAATCTTTTCCCAAGACTTTCACTACTTACAACTTAGGCTTTTTATTCCAGATAATGAAGGAATTTGATGCTATTCAGGGCCAGGATATTTCAGATTAAAAACAAAACAAAACAACAAAACAGATTCCCTTGAGAATAACTGCCTACCTACAGTGATTTCTTTGGCATATGTTACAACTCTGTTCTTGGACTTCAAAAACTATGAAGTACTAAACTTCTGTTTTCTACCCTTTAATTTGTAAAGCTGTACACATAAATGAAATTGAAAGCACACAAGACAATAAGGTTTTTCTAATGTTACTGATATTTAAATTTAAAATATTAACAAGATGCTTTTAAGAAATAAAATTTCATAGTCACACTCAAGAGAAATAAATTCAAGGCAGAGCAAGCAGAAATTCTAGAGCTGGGAAATACCTTACATAGCAAGAAATCAGAAATCCATTAAAAACTCAATCTTCCCATCCCATGGTTTCTTAAGAGTTCAACTCAACATGAACATTACCAGTAAGTTTCATGCCAAAAATTCCCAGCAAGAAGTATAAAAATACGTCACTTATGCACTCAAATATTTATTGACTCCTGGAATAAAACTTAAACTCATCTACCATTTAAAAACCTGGGTCTGAATACTTTATGGCAATGTTCCCATTTGGTTGCCAGAACAGCAAGAGAACAAACAATGCAACATACTCAGAAAGCTTTAACCAATAAACAGTAGCAGTTCTAGCTCTCTGCTCATCTTGTACCTCAGAGGTAAAGGTGCTGAGAGCCTATTTAATCTCTCCAATTAACAAGTCCTGATTTATGCTTTGTGTTTTTAACTGAACATATATTTATTGAGCATACACCATGTGCCAAGCACTATTTTCCCTTCAAAGGCTCACAACCAGATAAACACCTGGCAGCAGGAATTAAACAATCCCTCAGTATTACAGTTCAAAAGAAACTTAGAAATAATCAATACTGTTAAACAGATAAGAAAATGGCAACCCCAAAAGAAGGTAATTTACCCAGGCATAACTAAGGATGGAACCCTTACTAATACTACTTACTTCTATTTAAACTAATTTCCTTGCTTAAATGGCTATCACAGCTTTACATTTCATAGGACTAATTTAAATGTATAGTGTGGCATTCAAAGACACTTCAAAATGTACTTCTTGAAAACTTTTTTTTAATGTAGTTTTGCTTCATCCATTCAATGAATACTCACCAAGTGTCTAGTGTATAAAGAATAATACATGGTAAGCAAGAGAAATTAAGATTCTTGCCCCAAAGGAATGTATACTGTAGCAGAGAACAGAAGTGCATTGAACAGATTAATAGGTACTGATTTAGGGTAAAGAAGACTATGGGAACATGTTGCGAGAGGGATTTAGACATGGAGAGTTAAGGAATATATTCACCTGAAACTAGGAGGATATTGTATGACAATTATACATCAATATAAAAAAAGAGAAACATATTAGAAGAGGTAATGTCCTTACTAAAGATATATACTTTAATACATCCATGTATTTGCCCTCATTGGATCCTCCTTCTAAAGTGGTTTTCTTGGTTTTGTACTCCATTAACTCCAACTCATCTTTCATGATCTAACTCTCCTTTTCCTAGTAGCTTGACGATCTTCATCCCAGAACCAAATAAAACTGCTTGCCTTATTTCTACTCCTATAGCATTTTACATTTTTATAGTACTATTGTGATGTATTACAATTTGATGGCGACTGCCTCTTATTCTTCATAGTATTTATTACACAGATAAGGAAATTGAGACCTAGACAGATGGTGTAACTTGTTCAAGGTAATGGCTGTAATGTAAATGGTTAGAGGCAAAGGCAAAAACTGAACCCAGTTATCTATTATTCCAGAAGCTATGCTCTTTCTATCAGATTATGATACCTTTCCAATGCCACAAATCTGGGCCTTGTCCCGAAACCCTCAGTACTGGGTTTTGGAGAACTAGTATTTTAGGCAAGGTTTTTCATGCTTAATTAGATTTCCATTCTTTTAAATTGTGATTAATAGGATAGCAAAGTGGCTCGGAAAGTTCTCTAAAGCTATGATCTGAGACACTGACTGCTTTCTATAGTACTCTGGACTCAAAAAATAATATACTTTGGTATTTAAACACTATGAAACTGAGAAGACTTGTCCGACGCAAAGTTCAACCTATTTCCTTTGAGAAGATGACAGGAAAATACACTTTATAAAATACTATTTGTTTTGGCACCTGTAAAAAACTGAATCACTCAGTGGGAATGAGGTTTATCAAAACATGAAGTAGTACAGGAAAAGTTATACAAGATTCCTCTTCTCTGGCCTCCACGATAAAGAGGTGTCCCAGAACTTGGTGTACTCCTGGCAAAACTGTATTCATAATCTCTCTCTTGAGACCACAAGGGGTAATTGTTTTGTTTTTAATCCCTACTTATATCATTTACCACAAGAAGCCTCCTACTGTAATCCTTCATCCTTCAGACTGCAATTCTAGATCTAAACCTCATGGATAATAGAGAACAAGCTTCTTCCCCCAAATATCCTGCACTACCATCTCTCTTCCTACTTTTCCCCATAATATCCATCACCATTTGACACACTTTATGTTTTAATCATTTGTTTTTAAATATCATGTAAGCTAGAATCTAAGTTCCACCAGGGCAGAGATTGGTGTCTGTTTCATTAACTGCTGTACCTTATCACCTGGAACAATGCCTGGCACATAGTAGGTGCTCAAATATTTGCTAAAAAAATAGGATAAATGGCAAATAAAGATGGAAAAGAGCAAGAGGCACCCAATGAAAAGATCTTTTACTGACTGACAGTAAGAACAGAAGTCATATCTGTAAGGTAAAGCACACAATTAAGAGGAAAAACCCAAGTTAGAATACTGGTTGCACTACCTAATAGTGTGAGCTTTGTCATAATAAGCCTTAGTTTCCATAAGTGAAAATGATGTACTATCTACCTCACAAAACTATTATAAAAATTACTAAGGAACACATGTACATCTCATTTAATAACAATCATAAAACATTGTAAGCACCCAATAGTTATAGCTTTTTAAGCTAACTTCCAATTTTAAAAGAATTAACTATCAGGGCACCTGGGTGGCTCAGTCAGTTAAGCATCTGCCTTCAGCTCAGGTCATGATTTCAGGGTCCTGGGATCGAGCCCTGTGTCAGGCTCCCTGCTCAGCAAGGAGTCTGCTTCTCCTTCTCTCTTTGCCCCTCTCCCCTCTCGTGCTGTCTCAAAAAGTTCAATAAAATCTTAAAAAAATAATAAAAATTAACACGTATCAACTGATTTTGGTAATTCAGTTTAGGAAACACAATACTAGGACAAAAATATATAGCTTTCCTATTTTCCACATTCTAATTTCTTTATATCTAAATAAATGTGAAGGAATACTCTGAATAAAAAAATGTTTTATCTTTGTATAATACTTTACAGATTACTAATACATACACATTCTTTATCTCATTTTATCATCCTAACAATTCTATAAGGTAGACAGAGTAAGGATGTTTATCCCATTTTAATAAGATAATATACATATATGCACCCTGGTATTGGTAGGCACCAATTACTTCCTTCTTTTATACAAGTGACGACATAGACCCTAGCATGTCTAGTTACCAACAGGGCCAGATTGGTGAGTCAGGTTCAAGGATGTTTCCTTCTCTGTCTCCTTTAATAAGTCAATAAGTCACTTTTGTTTAATTATGCAGCCTCCTGCATCAAACCCAAAAGTTCAATTGTTATATTTTTCATAACTTCTTTCATTACTTTTATCCTTATTGAGATATAAAAGATACCTAGAGATCTTCTGATTGAAGATTAGTCTCACGGGGGAGCCTAGCTGGCTCAGTCAGTAGACATGGTCAGTAGACATGTAACTTGATCTCAGGTTGTGCGTTTGAGCCCCATGTTGGGCACAGAGATTTAATAAAAAAAATTTTTAAAAAGGGGTGCCTGGGGACACCTGGGTGGCTCAGTCGGTTAAGTGTCTGCCTTTGGCTCAGGTTATGATCTCAGGGTCCTGGTATCGAGTCCCACATTGGGCTCCCTGCTCAGCGGGGAGCCTGCTTCTCCCTCTGCCTGCTGCACCCCCTGCTTGAGCACGCTCTGACAAATCTTTAAAAAAATAATAAAATAAATAAAAAATAAAAACAGGTGCCTGAGTGGCTCAGTCATCTGAGCATCCAACTCTTGATTTTGACTCAGGTCATGATCCTCAGGGCTGTGGGATGGAGCCCTGTGTTGGGCTCCATGCTCAGTGTTGAGTCAGCTTGGGATTCTCTCTCTCCCACTCCCTCTGCCTGCTGCTCCCCCAGCTCGTGCTCTCTCTCTCTCTCAAATAAATCTTTTTAAATTAAAAAAAAAAATAAGTCTCATGATGTCGCAACTGTTTACAAAGTTTTTGCCTAAATTTACTGTTTTGTTCCCTAAGTGACAAACTGATGCTTAACTATGTACTTCTGCAAAGATCATGGCAAATAAGGCACCTCAGTCTGCCAAAAGAAGATTAATTTCCATTCTCAATCTCCTCTTTCTTAAACACTTAAGAGACCCAGCTAATGGAGAGTAAAATGGAGAAGAACTGGGGCGCCTGGGTGGCTCAGTAGGTTAAGCATCTGCCTTCGGCTCACATCATGATCTCAGGGTCCTGGGATTGAGCCTCATATCCAGCTTCCTGCTCAGCAGGGAATCTGCTTTTTTTCCCCCTCTTTCTCCCCAGCCCCCCCCGCCCCTCCCCACTGCTTATTGTTTCTCAAATAAATAAAATCTTTAAAAAAGAAAAAAAGAAAAGAACTGCCCATGATAAAGGCTCTTTTGATAGTCCTTCAACAGCAGTGGGCTCTTGGATAATCAGTGTTTACTTTTAAA